TGCGGCATGAGACGTGCCCACATGCCGCACTGTCACCAAAGTTCCTGTGAAATCCCAGAGCCCCCACATCCGATTGCTCATGAAATTGTGGTCAGGACAACCCCCAAACCCAGAGTAAATCAACGCATAATTCACTCAAGCTTACCCTGCCAGCGCCGCTGGGGCTGGCAACTCATCTTTTGGCTCGACACAACCAACAAACACGACACGCGCTGCAACTCTTTACACTCCCTGGAGCTAACATGGAAGTGGACAATGATCTCTTGGGAGACCATGTTCCTTTACAAACAGGGCGGGGTCCACTTCCATGCTAGTTCCAGGGAGTGTAAGTTCTCCCTGATGTCTAAAAAATGTCCCATTACTCCGTGTTGTACCGCCCCCTCTCCGGACCCCTCGTCGCTGCGCTGCGCCCCTCTCTCTCTCTCCCCACCTCGTCCAAGGCAAGACCGGGAAACCCGTGCTGAGCTCCGCTCGATGACGGCCACGGGCGACTCCTGGCGCGCCCCCACCGGCGGAGGGCACGGGCTGCCCATGCTGCCGGCCGAGGAGGATCCCAATGTGCGGCTCACTGGAGTGCTCCAGCAACTACAAAAGATTGCTGGAGGCGGAGAACAAACATCCTGAGGATCTAGACAGATCTAGACGATCTAGACAGTCGAAATTCCCTGGAATTCAGCATGACCCGAAAAAGAGGACGTTGTTGGTTTCCTAAGGGACGGCCTCATTCGGGCCTTCCCTTGGCCAAGATTTCATACACTTTGACTCACTGGAATGGAAGTGGATAGCATGGCCCCGAAAGAAAGACCATGAACTCCTCGACCGGACCGGTGGTGTTCCACGTCTATGTGAGGTGTGATGTTGCAGCTTTGAACACATCACGCGAAGCAAACGCATTGAAACGAGTATGTTAAAGAGTACTTAATTCTTCCGATGGAACCGATCGAGAAAGGTCCCAGAGCCGAGCCAACAGTCTTCAGGAACTCAGCTTATACGAGCCTTCAGCTTGTCTTCAGGAAATTGCTTTGTTATGTTGCAGTCGCAGTCCATGTTGAGACTCGTCAATGTAGGATTGGTGTCATGGTGTCATGGCATGATTGGCATGTTGGTCACATGGCTTTCGCTTCGGATGGCGCGAATCCAGGCGGTTTCTCTGAGCAGAGCACGCACGTGGGCTCCTTCTTCCCCAGCCGAGGGGCGGCCACCGACGACTGGGGCGATGCTGCCGACAGTCTGGGGCGACCTACGCCAGCGATGGCGGCCACCAGTGGCCTGGGTGTTTGCTGATTTTATGTTATGTGGTTAAGTTTCCCTATCCCAGATACTCTATGGGACTGCCATATATGCCGATCAGGCCAGGGGTGGTTTGGGGTGTCAATGTAGGCAAATATATGGCATACATGGAGTGTTTGGGTATGGTTAAACCCCAAAACCGGGGAAGAGCTTTTTGTTGATGGTTAAGCCCCCTTCTGACAAATTTGTTGTCTCTTTGTGCCAGGCCGAAACAAGCCAATCCAAGGTGGGGTGCGTGGAATGTATGGCCTGAGCCCGAGAGTCACTTGGGCTATGTTTGATTCGGCACAAGCGCGCCACACACGCAGGGGGTGGGGCGGATGTGTGTGGAGTTCGGCTTTCATCTGAGTTTTTTCTTACAGAGTTTTTGGGCAAGTGATTGATGTGCAACTTTCAGCTGGCAACGCTTAGGAGTGCATCTTTTTCCCAAGCGCATCGCAGTTGTTCGTCCATGTGTGGTCGACTTGGAAAAGCGCCCGACAGGGGTCATTTGACAGGGGTGTTCAGGGTCAACCGCGGGATCTTTGAAAATCAGACGCCCAGCGCGCCCACCGAAGGAGTTGACGTCCACGCACCGGTGCATAAAGCTCGCCCTCACAAAGCGCCAATTGCTCTTGCAACCCCAAAGATTCGAATGGAACACCCCATGCTGACCTTCCCAAACACTCCATAAAACTGCCATAGGACTGCCGACCCATTGACTTTGACCCCCCCCAAAAGCCACCCCTGGCCGCCATTCTCGGGCGTTAGATGGCAGTTTGTTCCATGTCCCGGACTCCGTGGCCCAGTCCGCGTGGCCCGAACGCGCGGAGAAGGTGCCCTTGCGCCAGGTGCCGTTGCCAACGAGCAAAGGAACGATGAGCAAGAAGGCCAAGCGAACATTTTAGTAGTTCCAATGGGCGCTGCAGGGGGAGGTGCAGAATTTGGGACCTGGTTTTTGAGGTGATGTTTATTATACCAGAAGGGTCACGGTCACTCCCCCTTCTGGTATATATGTTTGATCCTGTTTCCTTACTAGCCAAATCCGCGATGTTCACTGCATTTCAGCCGACAATCAGCCAAGAGAGGCCCTTCAGTGCCCTGGATGTCCACAGAAAAAGGCCCCACCTTGAAGCAATGGTGGAGTGGTCTCACAGCCCTCCTCCTGCAGCATAGTTAGGCAGCCTAAGAAATAGAGGCCAAATTTTAAACCATTGGGCCATCCACCTTTTCCATACAGTATCTCTGAAACCAAGCAAGCGGATTTGATCTTCTCCCTCCTTTGAGGTTTGCTAGAGAGCGGAGTGGTTGTATATGTATGGTGCTTGAGATGGTGCTCGAGGTTGGTCCTGACATCCTAGGTTATCGAATGTGTTTTCGCACAGGGTGAAGTGTGCAAACATGGCCATATCATGCGAGACCAGTCCCTCGCCATAGAAGCTGTTTCGATTTTGGGGGGTGGCCCTCGGTTTCATTCAAACCAGGTGCGGAACATGCATGCCTGGCCAATTGCACGTTTTCGGACACCTTTCCGGAGAGTAGAGCACTCTCCCGTCTCACCCCCATCGTTTCACTGTTGACCGACGAGACGGGCGAAAGGCCGATCAGAAGAGCGACCAAACGTGTGAATGAGTTGATGCTGCCTCACCTTCCAGCTCTTGGAAGGGGCACTTTTTGGGGGGACCTGTTTATATACCAGCACCCTCCAACAGGTCACCACCTGTGATTTTTAAGTCAGCAAAAGCCTCCAGAGGAGACCAGTTGGAGGGTGCTGGTATATATATATATATAAATATGTGTGTGTGTGTGTTTTTACATCATGTATAGCTTCCTTTTCCTCCACACCGAGGGGCACATCACAAAGTTCACCTCCTGGTTGGTCAAGGAAGACATGTAGGAAAATGGTCGATTCCAACGGGCCATGTCATTCACGTTCGCCCATGACCCAGACACGACCCGTCTGGGACTGGCATATTTACCCAGGCCAGGGGTGGTGGTGCCAGGGAGGTCTTTCTGGGTCGGCAGTCCTATGTAAGTCCCATGGGGTGTTTGGGTACATAGACCGACCCCAAACGCTCCATGCAAACATGCCATAGATGCCGACCCCAAAGGATGCCGACCATATAAGGCATATATGGTCCCATGGAGTGCTACCCGGTGTCAGGGACCTACCCCACACTCTGCTGGACGGTCGATCTCCCAGCTTCCGTGCGAAACAGATTGGCCGGGAGTCAGTATCACCACTTATACCATTTATATATACCTGGGGTTTGTCCCATCACTTGTAGCTAGCAAATACTGATCGCTCTCTTAGAGACAAGGCTTTTGCTAACCCTCATCATCCACTGTTCCTGGTACATCATGGGATATGCCCATCAGCCTATCATGCCCGCTACCCTCCACACATGGAACATGGCGCTTTGGACGCCGAGGGGATGTTCCACTTTCAGTATTTGGATAGATATTTGTAGGGATCCAGTCGTACCTTCTGAGGCAAAGGTACGACTGGATCCTAGAGTATCTCATACCTGGAACTTCGTTACGGCAATAATAATTGCCGTTTTCATGAAACGTCGCCTTTTTCCGTTCTGCGGCGTTCTTCCATATTGATCTCATAGGGACGGCGTTTCTTGATGAACTGCGGCAGTTTCGGTCAGTTGACGGCAATTTTGGTCCACACATCCATGCGCCTCAAAGAATCATTTTGTTTTAGTTTTAGTGCAGGCGAGTATGAAAACATTGTAGGGTCTTGCTTGAAAGGCAACTGAACGTAAAAGGCGTCTTATTATATCAGCAAACTCGCATAGTCATGTGAAGTGGAAAGGGCAGCTGATGGAAGTGTCACATGCTGGGTTTTCGTCGGCTTTCGCGGGTAACTCGACCTTTTGTGCGGCGTTGCAGAAGATTTTGCATTTAAAGTTACGGCGTTCTTACCCATACTTGCGGCGTTTTTCCCCGTACTTACGGCGTTTTTCCCCGTACTTACGGCGTTTTCCCCCTACTTACGGCGTCGTTCCCTTACCCTGTCTAGGGTCACTCAAGGTGGCAGCAAGACTTGTCACAAGCGATCCTTTCAGCCATTGCATGATCAAAATGTGAACAAATCCTGCCGTGATGTCAATCGAGACCTTAGACAAGGGCTGCAACATCTTGAGAAGTGCTACCATGAGGCTTGAAAACGATGAGCTCTACTTACAAGTGAAAAAGGAGAAGGCAATTTCAGGGTATGGACGGACCAAAACAATATCCTCTTTGGTAGATCAAACAAAACGGCGATTCTTCTTTTGCGACGGCGTTTTCACATCTCTGACGGCGTTTTCACTTTCCAGGGATTGAGCTACGGCAGAAAAAATGAGTTACGGCAAAAATTATTGCCTCAACAGCCTACGGCAAAAATTATTGCCTCGGGAGGGTCTAGGTATATTTCAATCAAAAAGCTTAGTTTCGATTCAGATTGATTTGACTTAGACTCCTGCATCAGTATGTTGTTGCTCAATTTGGTCCTTCAACTGCCAGAATCTTTGGAAGGAAGCCTCGTGTTTGGTCAGAACCTGCTTGAGGGCCTGCTGTGCAAGCACAAGCCATACAGTGTAAGAGCACAAAAGCTACACTTCCTGAAATCATGGAAGTGGAGTTCACCACCTGTTCTGGCATTCGGATTGAACATGGTCTTCTCAGGGGTCATGCCATCCAGGGAGTCTACGCCACAGTCGTTCGCGGCCTCGTTCCAGGCCTCCAGTCTTAGAAGTGCAGTGAAGGCACAGACCGATCGAGACATTTTGGGTGCAAATCCGAGCCCGAAGCAACAAATAGGGTCACCTTCGGGTCCGGATCCCCTGCATTTCGGTGGAGAAGGCCCAAAAGGAGGGTGCAATGTCTTGGGGCCGGACGTTTTCTAGCACAAAGCCTAGGCGCCCCGCATGTGGCGGTCTTTGACACACACGACGATGTAGAGGTGAAAGCCTGACTCTTAAAGTTTCTGAACTTTTGCGCATTTGTTTATGGCAATCGGCGGCAATCGTAGGAAAGAACTTCAGTAATTAGGCACCCTTCGGCATCATCAAGATGGTGATGACAATCGCGAAGAATGTTGCCCAGTCCCTTTCCAGTTTGGTCCTGATACGATTCTTTCCTACAGTTGGTCATGTCATATCATGTTTTTGTTTCATATGCAGTTTGATGATCACGCTTGCGGTCTTAGACCTCTGAAAGCCCAGAATGAAATGCAGTCTGATGATTGAGGATGTTTTCTCCAAATTTTTCTAGATCCAGATCATTCTCCCAACCTCCTTTGAGATCCATCCATCAGCGGAGAGTGCTCTTCAGAGCATAGGTGCTGGAGCCATATATAAGTGGGCCGACATCTCTGAAGTGTGCAGCTTGGTGCTGACTTGTGGACGGGGTTATGGGGCTTCTCTACTCCTGGGGGGCTGCAAGCCTTGATCATCTCGGTCCGAGACCTCTTTTCGTCCGTGGGTTCACACTGGGATGAACTGGAGGTCTTTGTTTGCATGCATCACGACACCAAATGCCCTCAGTGAGATGTTCTGAGGCCGGCTATGCAGCAGCCCACTTGACCCTGCTAGGGGTTGGGCTTTATGTGGATGTTGCGCTGACACAGTGGAATGGTGTCTTTTGGACTGCTCTCCAGAACCACCAGTCCAAGCAGTTCTACCGCACTCTGGCAGTTTGAGCGGACGAAGGAGTGAACTTGCTTCGACCAGACGGGGTCAGAAGGAGGTGGGGTTGGTCGTGTGAAACTTACTTGGGCCGAGCAGCTCATGTGTTTTCGGTGTTTCTGATGATATCCAAGGTCACCATAAAAGCCACCATGAATTAGTCATGTATGCAGTTGGATATTCCCGGTAATTGCATGTAGCTATAGACATGTTTGTGGTAACAAATCATCCCCTCAATATAGGCTCTTGAATGCTCTTGATTACTCAGCCCCTGCATTTGGAGCCCCTCCATTTGGATGGTAAAGCATTTTAAATTTGTGAGTTTTGTTAACAAATAATCAAGGGCCTACATTAGCCAACTTTGGGTGCTTGGCTACATTCGCTGTGGTGGCTCTAGCTTTCCCGGCACAAGAGATACCACATGGACACTCATATCAATGACGTTTGACCTCATTTGGAGTCCCATTTCACCCCTGCTGAGTGAACTCCCTGCAACTACCTTGAATTCCTCCCCCTAAGACGCAGCGTCTTCCTTCTCCGCCCTCCGGTTGAGGCCTCCTTTGGGACTTCGTGATCATCACCGGAGTGACGGGCTTCGTTGGCACCTATAACGACTACCTCAGCGGAATGTGGCACCTGCACGCACGCGGCTGGGCTAACTTGGCATCACAACACCGTTGGTTTTCTGTTGGTTTTCTGCGAAAGAACGTAGCGGCTAAGGGTTGCCGGAATTCGCATCGTTTTGGGAGGTTGTGGGTCCGTAGCTCCCGTTTGGGTATGTCAAGGCATTTTGGTCTGAGTGAATTGTGGCATAGAAGGTGCATGTTTGTTTAACATCCACCGCTGAAATAACCCCCAACTGTATGTAAATATATGTCACCCTAGGGATCCAAGTACCTTCTCAGAAGGCACTTGGAGACACTTGGGAACACAGGAGACAGTTGGGAACCGGTGGATGGCCCCCCCCTGCTTGTAGAGGATGTTTGGACCATTTGGACCGTTGGGATGGCCAGGCCATGTAACCATGGGAGGACTTACATGTTTCAAAAGGGGATGATCCACTCTGACTATACTCCAGCTATTTCGGAGGGCCTTCCTTGAGTGCATTCCTTGACCAACTCGGAGTGCTTTCCAATCAGCGAGACACGCGAAAAAAACACCTAAGGTGACCACCTCACACGGCACTTCAATCAGCTTTGGGTGAGCAATGGCGCCATGTGCATGATGCGACAGAGCTCCATACAGGCGCGCCAAGAGTGGCAGCGCTCGGAAGTGGAAGGAGGATTGGTAGGATTTGGTAGGGGAGGGGGAAGGAGGGACATACAGATAGACAAGTGGGTGGATTCATTTGATTGATTGATGGATTGGTTGGTTGGTGGGTGGCAGCTGGTAAACATGATAGAGCTGCAGCAACGAAGACTTTTGATGGCATGCGGCATGCCTTAATAGAGCGACCACTTTTGGGAGGTTTTTGCATGGCTTTGGCAACTTCGTTGGTTTTCCGCTGGTAGGAGCTGCCCCATCCGCTGCCCCATCCAGAGCTCGTGAACGGATGCCATCCGAGACACGTCCGCTCAACAGCTCAACAAGTCCACTTGCCGCGACGCCGCGTCCACGCCCAGGTGGACAATCCTGACCAACGCATCGACCAGGACGTGGACGAATTTGTAGGATCGACACGGGAGCTTTTCTTCGGAGGCTTAGGATCCATTGTGAGGCTGGGGCGGATGCGGTCTTTTGCCACGTGGGCGTGAGACATGATGGACATGGTGCATGTGACATATTCTGTGTTGGACCACGAATTCACGACTTGCTGACTCGCCGTTGACATATTCTGTGTGAAACTCCTCCTTTCAAGACGAGCCGGATTTGAACAATGCTCCCTTGAGGCTGGGCATTTACTTTCCCATCCTGTTGAGATCGGCTCCAGCTCCACTGTTGGGCGACTTGGACCGGACTTGGACCACCGAACGGAGCTTTAACAGGGCGACCGAGACGTGGAAGACGTGGATCGAGGTTTGGAGGATCGGATTGGCAAGAGCGAAATAGAGCTGCTGACCGGTGGTCGATGCTTTGGAAATAGACCTGCTGATCGGTTTGAGCAATATGAGGTGTTTGGTTCCATACATTCCCGGCCAATGATTCTTGTTATAGTTCTTGGTTTTTCCCTATGGATCCAAGTACCTTCTCAGAAGGCACTTGGACCCTCCTGGCACCCACCCCAAACAGCTTCTGAGAAGGTACGACTGGATCCCTAGGGTTTCATAGGTCCTCCCTTGCAGACCAAGAGATCTACTAGGATGGTCCATCTTCCGTATCAAATCAGAGTCAGTGATGACCGAACCACGCTTCTGCGACCACCGCAGGTCCATGCCCGGTCCATGCCCTCTTGAGGCAGTCTTCGCCCTGGAAGACCGACCTCAAGCCTTTCTCGGCTTCTCCTGAGCCTCATTCGGATGATCTGTTTCCCCTTACATCTCTTTCGCGGTCTTCCCTTTTTCGACCCTCCCTCCTCGAACAACCGTGTGGCCCAGGCTTCGTCTTGGTGTGGCCCATCTTTGGCGCCTTGATGACGCACGGCCTGGGCCGACGCTTGATCCCCTTGTCCTTGGCCGGAGAGTCCGCCAACGCCGACTTCCGCTCGGAGCTGGTCTTCGCGCGCGAGAAGGCACCGGTGGCGTGGGGGGAAGGAGCCGGGTGAAGGTGGAAGGAAGCTGAGGTGACGTTTGTCCCAATAGTAACGATATATAGAGTCTCACATTGAGGGAAGATAAGTAGATTCAGAGGCATCCCCAGACTCCCCAGATCAAGCCTATATCGATTTCCTGCCATACCTGGCCATTACTGTACATTGGATGGGCCGATTCCTATAGAAGTCCCTCTTCAAGGTCTTTGTGTTCATCATGTCCCTTGCCTGTGAAGTGTTGGGGTGGTTTGGCCTCCTTTTGGATTTTGATAGATTTTGGGAATGATGATCTAAAATTCATTGTTTAAGTTGGTGTTTGCATAGGTATTCTTTCGTTCACAGGTACGTATTACGTACATGTTCCTACTCCCCGTACGCAGCGACGAGTTTATTCCGCCGGGTAGGCGGACTCCTTAGCCTTGATGGGCGCTGGGCCTCATTTGGCGGAGAGCCTGAGCTGCAGAGATCACACTCCGTGAAACTAAGAATCATTGGTGGAAGTGGTACCAACTGGAGCGCCAGGCAACTCAACTCATCAAACCTAAGTATTTGTTGAACGTGCTGAGACCAAATCCCATATTCCCTAGGGCTCCAGTCATTCCTTCTGAGGTTCGGTGTTTAGGGTGGGTTTAGGAGGGTCCAAATACCTTCTGAGCAGGTACGACTGGAGCCCTAGGGATTGGCGGAAGTGGTAGTTACATGGAACCTGGCCTCTTGAGGAAGACCACAGGCTCACAGGGGCTGGAACCACTGCCATTCTTGTTTCGGGGAGGGTATGCTCCCGCGTACTAACATGGAAGTGTGCGATGGCATGGCCCCTGGAAAGACCTTTTTCCTCTACAAACCGGGGGGGTCTACTTCGATGGGCAGTTGGAGGGAGGCTACTCTCCGTAGTCTACGCTCCGTAGTCCGGGGGCGCAGCCTTTTCCTATTGGAGTGAGTCGGAGTGCAAAATACAAGACATCCAAGTCGATACAGGGCGATCTTTTTAGCAGCTTTGATGTGGATCATGGATCGTATAGCCCGGCCTATGTGCTAAACAGAAGGCCCTGTATGTCTAAAGGTGGACATTCTAATTTAGCACCTTTTTTCTGTTCAGCACATTCTATAATCATTGGACATCATTTGACATGGGAGGGGTATTTATTTTTGGATGTTTTTTGTTTTTCGTGGCTTCTGGCTTCTGTGGCTTCTGGCTTTTGTGGCTTTTGGCTTCTGTGGCTTCTGTATCTGTCTATACCTATCTATTTATCTATCTTTCTTTCTTTCTTTCTTTTGGCAGCTGTTCTCCTTTCTCTTTTTGTATTTGCTTTTCCTGTTGTTTTCGTTGCAGAGACGAAACAAGCAAGCAAGCAAGCAAGCAAGCACGAGCTGCTCACCTTTGGATCTGGTGTGCTGCTGGGGGGGGGCGCTGCGCCCCCCCCCCCAACCCCCCCGCGCCACGAAATCTGCACTTCATCCCCGACACCCGCGCCTGCCACGAAATCAATATTTTAAGGTGAACTCCCCGGTGCAAAACTTTCTAACCAAGCAAAGAAATGCCTCCTCTATCTATCTATCTATCTATCAATTAATCTTTCTGTCTTTCTATCTTTCTGCAGTTCAACATCCACAAAGTACTGCACCTGCCACGAATCTGCACTTCAAGGTCCACAAAGCCTTGCGCCTGCCACGAAATCTGCACTCCAAGGCCCACAAAGTCCTGCACCTGCCACCAACTCGACTCTACACTTCCACACCCACAAAGTCCTGCACCTGCCACGAAATCTGCACTTCAAAGTCCACAAAGTCCTGCGCCTGCCACAAAATCTGCACTCCAAGGGCCACGAAGTACTACACCTGCCACGAAATCTGCACTTCAAGGCCCACAAAAAGTCCTGCGCCTGCCACAAAATCTGCACTCCAAGGCCCACAAAGTCCTGCACCTGCCACGAAATGTGCTTTGCAAGGTCCACAAAGTACTGCACCTGCCACGAAGCACGAAAAAAAAAACGAAAAAAAACAGAAATATATTCGCAACCATTTGACATGTGTGGACCAGCGCCGTCTGCTCAGATCGGCGCTGGAGCGGGAGCTTGCTTGCTTGTAGGGTAACCGAAAACAGACTCGCCGGCGGCTGGGAGGTCAATGTCCCGAAACATGAGACTCGAACATCGCAGGTGACGCCATCCTCCATCGGACCCATGTGAACGAAGATGTAGGACCAAGCTGTAACTCATTACAGCGACTTACGCCCCTCATGCGCGCGGTACGCAGGGTATTTCGTCTGAAAACGATCGCCCTGAATCGGTCGATGGCAGTTTTGCTGGTCGTGGCCATGTCGCCCAGGAATCTTCAGGAACGCTTTGAGGTCATGAAGCGCGTGGCCAGTTGCCGGCGTGTTTATGCACTACACGTTTGTTATTTGTTTGTGTGGGAGTTCTGTGGCCACTTTTTATTTGTATGGTGTTTGGTATCCATGGTGCTCAACTGCCCCACTGATAGAAAAAACGGAAAGGCAGTTTGGTCTCACGGCCCGGCTTGCCAGGAAGGCAGTTTGGACGGACGACAAATCAGAGAAACATTTGGTGTTTCTTCTGGCCGCTATGGTCTTGGAAGCCGTGAAACTACGGGTGAGTTTTCATGAGGTCTCAACTCCGAACTTCCAAACGCGTTTGTCAGCAGTCTAGATCAAACGACCTAATATTTAATAAGCCGTGGGCCCTGAAAAAGGATCAAGCCTTTATATAGAAGTGATTGTTTTGGAGCTAGACGTTAATAAGCTTGGCTGCTTGCTTTCAAACATCATCATATGCCATAGATCACTGCACTGGATGTAGTGCAGTAGACTGCAAGGTGGCTCCGATTAGATATATACTGAGCTTCCTGGCAGTTTAGTCATTGCAGGAATCAGGAATGGACATGGGCAAATTCACCAACATAGTGCAGCATAGCCGAAGGTGCTTGGGCAACAGGATGAGGTTGGACAATCCCAGATAGCAGGCCGCAGGCCCCCTTTCTTGTTCGGCTCAACTGTTTGCCAGGCCTATGTGGAGTTCGATGTAAAAAGAACACATGTTCCTTGCCAGGCCTATGCGGAGTTCGATGTCACCAAGTTCCTGAATTTCTTCAAGATGATGCAACTTGAGCTTTGATGCAGGTTCTTTCGGCTTCAAAGGACCATCGCAGCAACGCTCGCACATGCTCGATGTCCACCCGGCCCGGCACAAGGGCAGGGACCGGACCGGAGGCAGGGCGCCTGTGTTCATGGCCCAAAGAATTTAGGGCAATGGCATCTAACAACGCTCCCTGGAAGTAGGAAGTGGATGGCACGGCCCCTGGGAAGACCATGACATCCTACCAATCAGGTGGTGAACTCCACTTCGATGGTGATTTTGCTGAGTGTAAGGTGTACGAACCACGCATAAATCATTTAAACCGATCAAAGAGGATGAAAGGAACAAACGGGGTAGATTCAGAACAAGGGTCAATCAGCAATGGGTTGGTTGCAAAGGAGCCGATTTTGTCAAGCCCATGCTGGCACATGCTGCTGAAGCTTTGTGCTTTGCTTGTGCTGCCACATGCTTGTTCGGATATGTTGCTTGC